GATATTGTGTTACTTCATAGCCTTAAGGAGAAATAAAGGAAGCTTTCCAAAGAGCTGCACAGCAAACTCTGTGCTTTTCAGCTCTGCAACAGCACAGCTGAATATTAAGGCCAGAGTTTGCAAATGTCTATTTCAAAAACCAGGCAGCAACGAGAAAGTTGCCAAATTTTCTCAGGAATGAACAGTTTGCTTTAAGACATTCCCCCCAAAGGTTAAGCTGCTTTCACTTAAGAAAATACCCTTGGATACCCATGCTTGAAAATGATTGCCTGGAGTAACAAGCATGGAGAAATAACAGGAGGAGCATGATTCAGGTCAATCTGTGGGCCAAATCCTATAGCTATGCTGTTACTGACACGCTCATTCTTACATACAATATGCACCAATATTATTTAATATAAAGACACGTTTTGAAATTACATACATTTTACTTATTTGAGTCTCACTCAGCATCTAGTGAACAGGCAAATGGCACAATATAAAAAAACCTTACACGCCCTCTCGTGGTATAACCACAAATGCTCACAATAGCTAGGGAACGCTAATGATGAAGGCTAATTTAACTTATGTAATTCATGGAAAATACACGTGGCTGAAAGGTTTATATGAATGGTGGAGACCTTTCTGTCTTAATTCCTGCAGTAATCCATGACATATATGCAATTTTAGAAGGCAGGTTAGCTCCTAGCATAATAGTATTACAAAACATCTAAAGGCATCATAACATAAAACATAAATAGAGAATGTTTACAAAAAAAAAAAAAAAAAGGAAGCCTAGAGTAATAAAGAGGGATGGGAAACTCCACATCGGATAGCTATTTCATAGGTTTATCTCAGTAGTTTGAGTGCAGGCCTGGACTGGTGGCAAAATAAAAGAGTTGTTCTAAGCCCTGCTGTGAGTTGTGTCCCATTTTTAAAGTCATTCAGCTTTACTATTTATTGTTTTCATGCAACACGGTGTAGTTTACCACTCAGAATGCTCTGAAGTTTCATGTTTGTGTTTTAAACTCTGAATCACAGGCAGCTTGAAAGAAATACATTAACCGCAGGGTGTTACCGGTCTAATCACTAGCCTAGTAAAATCCGATTGCATTTATGGACCACAAAAACTTTAATACTTAAACAGGCTTTCCATTCGGTGCCTGGATGCATCTCCAGACACTCTCAGAGCAGCTCTCCTTAAATACAGGACTGCAGCTTGAAGGAGAAAACACAACATGTTTTGGGCTCAAGGCAAGGATTCCCTTTAGCCTCCATGCAATTCGACTTGGGGGCGGCTATGAGAAGCGGCCAACCCTCTGGTGTTATTTCCCCCTCCTCTTCTTCATGCTGAATGTAGTGGCAAGACAACCACATAGAGAAACAACTCTTTTTTCAGGGCTGGGTTACTCTTGTGCCAGATCAGCTGGTTAGCCTGACTGACCCTGAAGCCAGACCAAAGTATGACTGTCAGGAGTTCAAGACTGAGACGTCACCCCTTCTGGTGCCAGTCATGAAAGACCAGCAGAGGCATAACATTGTACTGCACCTAAACAGCTTTAATCCACACAGATGAAACATCTCGGTGGCTACTATGTGAACCCACCCAATAAATACTGACTTGTTTTCAGCAACGCCAACCAGCAAAATAGATGCCCCATGTCCAGTGGAAACAAAAAGTTTGGAGAATTAAATTCCATTTGCCTCCTTTGTGTATTTTTGTATATATACATTGAGGAGCCAAAAGGGAGGTACTCATGTTTTAAAATGCTGTTCCTGTATTTTCTGTTAGACTGTGCATGCCTATAGCAGATGTCAGGCTGTAAGCAATTACAGCAATATTTGTAAAGAAATAGGCAAGAGAACTTTGCGCTAAGCACTGCACAAAAACATAGCTCCCAAACCACATTTTAAAAGGTTTGTGTGTTTTGCTTCTTTTTTTTTTCTGTTTTTCTGGATGACCACTGTGCGTGAAGAAGCTCCCCTCCCTCTCTTAAAAAGTTACTGGGATTCTGATATTGCTTTATTTCCCTTTCTAGGATGCCTTCGTGGAGTTGTATGGCAACAGTATGAGGCCTTTGTTCGATTTCTCCTGGATCTCTCTGAAGACTATCCTGAGTTTGGTTCTGGTGGGAGCTTGCATCACTCTTGGCGCTTATCTCGGACATAAGTAGAGTCACCCAGTTTATCGTGGATTACAAAAGTCTTTCAAAACAGCAAAATAATATTTTTTTTCTGTAGCACAATGGTATTTTATGAGCAAAACAACTTCCTGGCTAAAGATTAAATCAGCTATTACTGCCAAAGGAAATATCATTTATTTTTACATTGCAGGAAAATTATTTATTGAAAGATATTTACATTTTAACCTGCTATTTTCAGAAACTCTGCAAGTTGTATCTGTCATCACATCATGTTGTTATTCTTAACTTTAATGAGCCCCATTGTCTTTTAGGTTCTTTTTTTTTTTTTTTTTAATTAATGCAGCTGGCTGGATTATTTTATCTCTGAAGAGCAAATATACTGACAAAGACCTACCTGCTTACACTTAGGAAGGCAGTTACTTGAGCTGCTAAAGGCTGCGTAATTGTGTTGATTTTCCTCGCATTTTTTTGGATGGCTGGGAGGGATCTGAAAGAAAAGGTCAGTGTGAACGAAGTTCTAACCCTGTCCTGCCAGCAAGAACTGACGGAGTAAACAGTTCAACATGGTACAGACGTGCAGTCAAAATGGCAACTTCTTGAAGGACACTTGGCTATCCCTACAGTTTGAAATATGATTGCCTATGCCTTGTAAACATGCGTTTACAAGTTACCAGTCGTGCCATCACATCATAGTCATAATAGTCTCATCCAGTACCCTAATGTGTGTCAACTGAAATAATTTTTAATAGAAGTGTGAAGTTAAATCTTTGGGGCTTGCAGGAAATTACTGTTCCAATGATTTTCTCAGCAGTAAAACATTTTCACGGCTATTGACACAGAAACATCAGGAGACCTTAAGTGCCTGCTTCGACAGAGCAGAGCTGGAGTCTGAAGACCTGACCTGTGTCCCACTTCAGTGGGCTCGTATCTGCAACTAATCCTGTTTACTTACGGAGCTCCTCCAGGGGTTTGAAACCAATTAAATGTGGTTCTCTAAGTCCCTGAAAGTTGAAAAAGGTTTTAATTTTATTCGGCAAGAAACAGACCTCAGCTGAGTTACAAATTAGCTCTGACTATCCTTGTTTATCAAACTGGACACCAAAATCAAGCTCATTTTCGTAACAAAAAAAAGGAAAAAAAAAAAGAAAAAGAAAGTGAGCTTTATCCTCCTGCCCCTCACCCCCAAAATTATTTCATGGTAACAAATTCCTAAGACTGTCTACAGAAGAAAAGATGACGAAGAAACTCCAACTCCTCTATCTGGACAGAGACTCTCTGACACCTCGGTCGCACAGGTGCCTACTGTCATTTCAAGCGAAAACAGGGTGGAGGAAGAGGGGAGGGTGAAGTCATCTGCCCCTATTTTAAAAGCAACTCAAGTACAATGAATGCAGACTACTTGATATACAGTTTTATAAACAGACCTGTGTTCTGAGAGCAGATGTGTCGATGTGTGTCAGAGCGGGGCTTTTCCATGTGCTCGGAGGGGTCCAGAAGCAGAAGAATCTGAGTGTGTCGCACGGACTGCTCTGGGTAATGCAAATCTCCGTCTTCAATCAAGCGCTCCTATTTTTTCTATGAAACTTTTGAAGTCTGGGATTTGTGGGTAAATGGACATCCAGAGAGTGAAAGAAAAGGTTGCAAAGCTCTGAGTAAAACGTACCGTACAATACAGAAGTGCTATAAGGCTGAAAAAAAATGCAGTGAATAAACTGTAGATTCAACCTCAAGATTTCAGTTGGATAACTTTGTGGCATTATATGCAAAATAGCTCCATTAACTTGGGAATGTAATATGTTCAATGTTAAGGCTGTAGTTGATGTTGTGTCTTCAAAGCTGCTTTTTTGTTTGTTTGTTTGTTTTTAAGAGTTGTACATCTCAGCATTTTTACTGCTACTTAGTCATGGCACCTACACTTTGTATGAGCAAAGACAGAATGAGCTTACCTTTCAAATTTGAAATTACTTTTAATTTTATAGAAGCATGTAAAGGAAATGTTTCTAAGAACACAAAAATGTGACCTAAACTAGGCTTGATTTAAAAAAGAAAAAGAAAAAAAAACAAACCACAGCATCAAAACAGAAACACCTGCATTGTTTTTAGAGTGCTTCTGTCAGCTGTGAGCGTATACATGCAGGGTTCATATAAAAAACATTCTAAATGGGAGCAACCAAGTATTGTGGATTGAGTGTGGGCTTTGTATTTTTTCGGCTACAAAGCTGAATTTGTTTGAAGCCAATTTCAAAACTGGAATTGGCTGGTATCGAGCTAATGTTTCATTTCACAATCTAGTCTTCGTTTCAATTTGTGCCCATACGCCCATTAAAGTTCATGAACTATTAGACCTCGAATTGTTTCAATATTGTTTATTTTATTAAAGGTTTACATTGTCAAAAGTAATAAAAGAGTAACTATCAATTCCAGTGCTGCTATACTACAAGGATAATTTGAATGGGTTTTATTTTTAATACCTTCCAATGGCAAAAGTTTTTTAAAGCTGCTTTAGAAATAATATGAAGAAGACACATGATACACATTTAGATGAATATTGAGGATTTTGTGTTCTGTTGTGTCTACTCACTGGACTTCCCAGTGTACTAGTTAATACCAGGCAAAAAGAGGAGTCGTGATGACTGTTGATGATTTTATTTTATTAAAGAGCTAACGGAATTTTCCCATCCTGACTGCAGACTAGTACAGTATTGTGGCTGCATTAGCTATAACGGTAGTTGGTAATACATTTATTAAGAAACATAGTAGAAACATTGAATGTATATAAAAGCTTGAACTTCTTTAATAAAATCCTCTCCTCTCACTTACGCATTTCTTTTGCAATAATTCCTGTCTTTCCTATTCTTCATTACACTTCCACATAGATTTTTTTTTCCCACAAAATGCCTTACAGACTTTCATGCTCCAAGACTACACTTCAGTGAAAATCCATCCTCCGTCACTACGCAGACACACATAGCTGGTCACTCCCCGTGTACCTGAGCTGTCAAAGCAAAAGTTAAAAAAGAAGGAGGGACACTTCTGAAGTTGGTTAGGTGTGGAAGATCAGAGGACAACATAGGAAGAGGTCAAGAAATAGAGGGAATCAGAGAGCTCACTGAAATATCTCCCTGGTTAAAGATGACTGTTAAATGGAATTTGTTCATCTTTCATTCTTTCCCTTGACAAAGGATGATACAAAGGCAGAGTAACCAATTGCACAGACCCCATGATTATTCTTCACAATAAAACTTAATTAATTCTGAAGGCAGTCTTTTGCAAAACAGAAAATCCTTAGGAATTTGAGAGAAATACTTGATTCGGCTGTATTTAATTTATTTGTCATTAATTCCTTCTCACTCCATTTATTAAGAAAATAGTGAAAGAAAATATTTTGCTTCTGAAAAAAATATAACTCTACAATCACCTAAGATCTGTTACAGATCAGTAACTTCGGAACAAATGGAAAAACAAGAAAAAAAATCTGGAAGCATTCTGAAATCAGAGCTGACACAAAGGAAATTTCTCAATAGACCAAGCACTGGATCCAACAAAGGAGGAGTGAGGCTGTGGAGGTAACAGAGAATATACAGATAAGGAAGGGGGCTGGAAGATATGGAGAATGACACTGGTATGTAAGAAAATCTCAAGTTTCAGATGATGCAGGAGTGCACCCAAGGTGGTCTGAAAATAGCTTTTAACTAAACCTGGATACAAATTCATGCACTACAACATTACTATAATTAAGAAAATTTTTCAATCATCTCAAAAAAAAATTTTAAAGTATTATAAAATTATCCAATCATTACGAAACTTCATTGGTTTGCTGTTGTGATTTGAGATTACGCAGTCTGAGTAGGGTTGCACTAATAAAGAGCAATTTTGAAAAAAAAAAAATGTTTCTTTGAAAGCAGATGTGCAAAGGAAACATTGATGTGGTACAGTTCACAGAATATAGACCCAGGACACCCCAGCCTTGCATGCACACAGTCTCCCTTGCGCAGTCAGTGGGAGTCAGAAATATGTAAGGTCTGCATGCTTTGACCCTGAAGCATGACACTGTGCTTACCTGTGCACCTGCATTCAACTTCACAAACCTAGAAGTCCTATTAATTAAACGTGTAGTGAAGTAGCATGTTTAAAGCCTGTCTTTTTTCCCTCTCTCTGTCTTTAAACAAGCTAGCAAAATGATTCATTTGTATTATGAGTTAATGGCTCAGTACTAAACGAAAAATTAAACATCTTTTGATTTATAAGCATAAAAATTCTTTCTCATTGCAAAAGCCCAGCTTTGTTTTTCATTCCTCTCTCTCTTTCAAACCAGGCTACACAAAAAGAAGACGAAAGAGCCAATTTAATCTGTATTTTTTTTAAATCACACTCCTATACTAAGTTAATGCAGCTTCATCACATGATGAAATCTTTCTCACCAAGTTATACAGCATTAAAAAATTCCACACAGAACTATATATTTTTATAATTTAAGTAGCGTATTTTTTTCTTTTTCTTCTGAATATTTGAATTTTAATTATCACCAGCATAAATGTACATAAGCAGATATCGTTTACCCAGTACCTTTGGATGATGTATGTATGGTAATGTAGTTTGTCAGTTTATCATCATTTAATATGATTATGTTGTTCTTTGTCTTTAAAATGTTATAAGAACATGCTGCCATTAAACTTTTCATGTCTGTCTAGTTAATATTGTGAAAAAATAATAAAGCACACTGTGAGTTACTTGTTTTGCATTCGAATTGTTTAGGATTGGTTGATAAGACACTACCCCAACATTTATGAGTGCAATCCTATAAATGAAACATAATGTTTCCTTCTGGATTGTTCTGGTGACATGTTCTGCTTGATATCAATATCTTCAGGCTACAGTGAGACTGTAGAAGCACTATTCACCCATGCTTTTTCTCCAGATCCAAAGTATTTGATGATTTTTGTAAAGCCACAGATCTTAGAACTATGGAAATGCAACTGTCTTTGAGTTTTCTTAAAAAAAAATAAAAGAAAAAAAAAAAGAAACTTTCTACACTACATGGTAGCAGACATGCTTTAGGAACACACATACACACAAAACTTACATCTTTGAAGTTTACGCAACAGAGAACCATAAACAATTTTTTTTTAAATTTATTTATTTATTAATGCTGTGCTGTTTTTCAAGCTAATATTAAAATGTTTAAAAGTTGTGTGTGGTAGCTTGTACGCATAGCAGGTTTGTATTTAACCCAGTGTGCACTGTGCAAGAATGCATTTATAAAATTCATCTTTGAAGGTCTGATGAACTTGTGTCCACAGGCTGCCCATAAGGTCAGGGAAAGAGGTGATATTCAGAATAGCTAAGGCAGGTTCTTGGTCTGTCTGGGCCATCATGATAGAAGATGGGAGAGCTTTCTCCTTGCTTTGACTGTTAGGAGACTGGTTAATCAGGTGCTTAATGTTCCACAGCATAACAACCTCTCACAGCATCCCGTCACACTCACTACAGCAGAGCCGTAGGGTCTGCAAGTCAACACCTCAAGTGAGATTATTTGAAGACTCTTCCTTAGTCTAAGTTTTTCTTTTATCATAGCTCACACTGGCAGGAATCACAGATTTAGCAAGTCTGTCAACTCACATGTCACTTCTCCCAGGTGGGTTCAATGAGGACAGCAAGCTCCAAATGAGACCTTGGGACAAAATCACTTCTAAATGGGACTTACTTGGAAGAGCAGCAGTAGGTATATTCCTTAAACACTATGTAAATTAAGCACGAAAGCCATACATAAGTATCTGTGCTGCTGGCAACTACAAAGGATGGCATTTATCTTACATTCAGCAGTTTAATTCTGTTACTGCATTTCTTTCTTCTCTGGATCCCAAAAAAGAGCAGCCAATATCGCATCCATGGACACAACCCTGAGGAGCTGCATTCTACACTATCTAAACAAAAACCTCCCCAAAAAGCTGTAAAGTGACAATATTCTCCAGCATTCCTCAAAGGCCTTTGTGCATCAAAATACACTAACATAAGTCTGATAAACCGCTGCTGTGTGAAATACAATAAGCAGGTGTATCAGATACTTCAAGACAGAAGGACTGTCTTTTGACTACCACCCGCTCTACTGTCTCATACATCCAACGTCTTGTTGAAAGTGCAGTGAGAGTCTCTCATTTTTTCACTAGAACTGTTTTTCAACCTAGTAGAAAGAAGCTGGGAAAGCATATCAGCAAGTTTCAGTGGGCTGAGGAAAAAAAAAAATGTAAAAAGTAAAAAAGTAAAGCATTTTTATTACTGCCAAAGGTTTGTTACTCTTATGATTGGTTTCCAGTAGGTGTTTAGCTATTCTGCTTCTTAAGGGTTCATATTACCTGGCCCTCAACATTGCGGTTGTTACCACACACCTTCTGTAGCTGCACTGCATGTAGAACATAGCTAGATTAGCTTAGGTAATGAGTATTTAACGGCCCCATGAATACACCCAACGTCTGGAGTGAGTTTTGCAACCTAGCATGTGCAGCGTACTGTCATGAATGCACCTGTAGTGAGTGCCTCAAGCTAGCTAGAAGTTTAAAGCCTTTCCAGGAAAATTGAGACACACGTGCAAAAACGTCTACCCCTACATCTGCATCCCCAAAGGCAGAGAAGGTGGAGGAAGGCAGCCTGAAGCTTTCTGAAAAAAAAGAAGACACAGCAGAAAAAGACAACTAATAGATTGTGTCCTCTTAGGCCCAGGATTGAACTGCCCAGCCCATGAGGTTGCAAATTCCTTTGCGACTGTCAGGAGGCAAGCAAATCTGCAGTTCTGTAGGTACTGCCATTTTTTCCCTGATTATTCCATGAGACTGAAAGAAGACTGAAAGGACTTGAAGGAAAGTATCCTCTGCACTATTGTATTTCTAGCTAAGGAAGGAAGAAGTGATTAAATTTCTCTAGGAAGGCAAGCCAACGCAGCAAAAACAGGTAAATTACTTTGGTGACTCCCCTCTTTCTGCCTGGACAGTTGACTCAAATTTTTGTAAAAAGCAGAAAGATTAGCAGCCATGATTAAATGCCTACCTTCTTACTGGCACAAAGCACGGTGAGCAGATCAGAACAGAAGAGGTCGGGATAAAGACAAAATGGATGTTACACCTGATAACTGAGGTGGGTTTTGGCACCCTGGAAATTACACTGGTAGGAGCACCTTTAAAACAAGCTTGGCTGGGCCAGAGAAAGCTCCCTTTTCAAAATACACACAAATGGTTTCAAGCACTGCAAACCTTCACTGACATTTTCAGTGTGCTGCAGTCCCTCTGAAACAGCAGGCTCTCAGCCTGGCAACGCCTGTAGTTCCTGCTATTGTCCCTCTAGCTTATTAAATATTTAATGAGAGATTGCAAATGATACAAAGTGGAATTTATTCCAGTGTGAACGGCCAGATAACAACTGCTTGCCATTTACGTCTCACATCACATCTGACCCTGACAGGCGCTAGCCTTCTGCTCCTACATAACATTTTGGTATCAAGAACTGCCTCTGAGGCGGCCACACTGGTACTGGTACTGGTGCAAATTCTTATAAAGCCATAGGTGGCAGAAAACAAAAGCCAGCCAATCTATTTATTGGTTTGTATTTGCACAAGTTTCTGAAGAGACGTGTGATCCCATTTCTGTCAAAGCAGCCATAGCTTGTGCAAGATCACTGCATACAGTCCATTAGTGACCATTGACTGGGGCCACTGGCAAGGTTAACTCATTCACACTGGGGTGGAAACAGCTCTGACAGACCCTTAATCCTTGTCTTTGTTGGGACAATTACATCTGAAATTGTGAAGGAAGAAGATGCTGCCTTCTATTTGCACAAAAAAGTATTGCACAAAAAACTGTGCTACACATTATTGCTGTGGTAGAAATAGCCATCCACTAATAGAAGTTTACACACAAAAATGAGGAATACCTCACTTGTCAAAAAGCCTCTTGCTTTCTTCTAGGGTTGAGCCCTCCAAGACACTTATGTGACAGCACATGCTTCAAGTCGTCTGAAGCATGCTTAGCAACATTCAAACTGAGCAGCATTTTCTGCACTTTCATCTCTTAAATCTTACATATCTGAAATGCTAATACCATCTTAGAACTACCAGGTAGAGAGGAGGGAGAAAACCATTGGCACTCTGACTCCTGGATAGTTTGGAAAGAAAACAGTGTGAGATCAGAAAGTGAACTGAAGTGCCACACGAGATGCCCCAGTGTTCGACAAGGCAGTTTGGAAATAAATTTTTAGTGTGTTTCTACACACCGCCTTCAAGGCAGTACCACTCCAAAAGGCCGAGATGCATCACAACACTGTGATCGCACGTGATGCGATCCCACAGCACTGTCAAAGGCAAATCAAAATGACTTTCAAGCCTCTCTTCCGACCTGCTCCACATCCACTGAGCCACCTTTCCACTGAACAAGGAAGCACCTACCAGCAGGATCCAGCAATGCAAAACATGTCAAAAAACCTGAAACAATAGTTTGGGCAAGCCAGCTTTCGTAGCATAAAGATGCCAGCGTCCTGTAAAATGCCTGGCAGGCAGAGGAGAAGCCACAGTACTGCATTATAATTAACGTACTTGGAAGCTTTCACCAGGGACCAGGGGCACAGACGTTTTCTGTAATTCTTTCAGCGGAGTCCCATTAAGAGCCTGTGCCGTCTGCTTCGCCGCACAGACGGTGTGGCCTGAAAGGGACTGCTGACTGCTCTGCTCTGTCCTCTTACAAGCCTGCTTGAAGCCAAAGCTGGCAGAAAACCAAGGTGTTCTCTCATGAGACTGTAAATTAATGTTGCTGAAGGAAACTGGCTAGTAGTTCATGTGGTTCTGAGTTTGCTTTCCATCTGGCGTCTCACTCCAAATTCCCTCTGCACCTAGGAATAAAACAGGTGAGGTGTCTGGTCCACTCATCACCCCCTACACATTACTGATTTTCTTTCATCCAGGTCTTTAAAAAATCCTTGTTCTTGCTACAGTTTTGAAATGTTATAGGGTTGGGGTTTTTTTTTTTTGCACTTAAAAAAACAGCTGTTATTTCTCTATAGGCTTTGCAAACATTCTTCCCATTATGTAATTCATTTACTGCTAGCAGAATGCACAGCTTCCTCCAACACATAGCTCTAAAAGAAGCTGGTAGATTTGACACTTAAAAAATGTGACCATGAGAAAGAAACAGATGTATTTTAAACAAAGGTGCTGACTTATAGCTCCTCCTCGTTCCTCCTCCTCACAGACAGGGTATGTAATAAACCCTTAACTCTAGTTGCTGGCCACCTAAATCAGCGCTGCTTTACATTCTCCCAGTATTTTCCTTAGGGACAGAAAATCAGTCTTTAACCAAGGACAGATAGGCAGCACTGCTTCCAGTCACATCCAAATCACAGCATCCAGATCTGGAATTAGATTTCAGTCCTGGTACGTTGCGGCTGCTTCCTCGCTTTCTGCCAAGCTGGAGGGGGAAAGTAAGGCCAATCCAGAGGTCATGAAAGATATTCAAGAAGCATAAACAGAAAGAAATGACACTGATACCTCCAGCAAGAGGTGAGACAACATCAGGGGTTCAGATAGGCCCGGGCTGCTCTTCTCATCACACAGCTTTCAAATTGCACTACTAACCCAAGAGCTATTCCCACTGTCAACTCCTGCAAAACTCCCATTAATATCAGCTGGAACCAGACCTTTTACTGTGTGCACTGGAAGTGGAGCCATTGCTAGCTGCAGAAAGGTTTTAAGCTACAAGAGGTTATTCAACTACCTGAGAAAGACAAAGGCCTTTTTTCAAATATATTTGCTTGTCTTAAGCTCAAATTGACTTAGAGCGGTGGAGAGCTCCATGGCTGGAAAAAAAATCAGGGAGCAAATCCCTTCCTCTGACAATAAAACAGCTGTCCCTGTGCAATATATGTAAGCCCCTTTGAAAGGAACACCATGATACAGTCACAAAGGTATTAGGAAAATCGAACGTGACACACAGCTGCAGTGTGTACTGCAAGCGAGCACCACAAATATGCCCCGGTCTAAGCATTATTAGTTTCTTTGCTTATTTTGCACACTCGACAAGTGACATTTTTACCTCAAGCTTTCCCGAGTCTTTTTGGAACACATTTCTTCACACATCTTCAGAATGCCACCAACAAGGGCACAATGAAAAAAGCTCCCTGTTTGCCCTAAAATGTTCAAATTCTATCCTACAAGAGAAATTTTAAAAATAAATTTTAAAAAGGGATCTTTCGAGGTCCCTTCCAACCCCTACAGTTCTGAGATTCTGTGTGATTCTGTGATATATATATATTTTTGATTTAGTAGCTACAGTGGGGAAAATAGGTAGTGAAAAAAAATGTCACTTTTGGAAACAGAAGTATACACACCCACACACACAAAAAAACCTTGTCCTTCATTTTCAACTGTATGTCCACTGCTGAACCATCCTTTTCTCTAATTACAGCTGACAATTGCACAGATGTCTCTAGCACAGTTTGCTTATAAAGACATATTCATTGCAATGAGATACATGACAGACTTCACACTTAACAGTTGTCAACATAACTTCATTAATGTGTCTTGAGCATCCATTTGCCCACCCCCTCCCACTTCAAAAACAAAATTAAAACCCACTTCTCTTCTGTCATCACATCCTCCAACAACTATCACCACTCACTCAAGGGGTGGGAAAATAACTCACTGCTTTTGCCTTAATCTCCGTCAGCCGATGCTACTTCCAACAAAAGCAGTGTACAAACAAGCTCGAAATCACAAACTCAAGAAGCCGTTTTCATTTCCTGAAGACCACGTAGCTTTATCTCGTTGACCCTTCCAGTTAAGTGGTATGATTCACCAATGACTAGCAGCACAAACATTCATTCATGTCTTAAATTCTGTCAAAACATTACAGAATCAGACAGCATGGAGCAGCTACCGTTGTCATTTTAATGATGTGCCTATGACGACTGTAGCTGGAAAAACAAATGTTCTGGTGGTGCATTAGCCCCTCCAATATATAAAGTATTTCCCATCAAAATAAGCCTGCATTTTTTGAAGACAACAGGATGGTAGATGTCAATTACAAAAATTCTCTCTCCTGGTTAGAAGAGAACTTAACGTCCTTGCTTATAAATGTCAGGCAATCTTACCTTATGCATACGTGGGGCAGCGACCCCATATGAAAACTGCAAAAGCAATGGGATGCTAAACAAGAAGAACATTTGTATTTTTATTTGTCTAAATAGGGTCTGAGCACGTAATAGCCTACAGATGGAACCACCTATACAATAAATAAATAAATAAATAAATAAAGAGTTGTTAACAGATTTCATTTTTCTAGTAAAGTCAAGTATCAGTCAAAACTAATTGTGACACGCTGAGACTGTTTTATATTAAAATGATCAACTAAACCACCAGTTTGTGTCATCAATGAGAATGACAATCAACCTGCACACACAAACTTTGTCATAAAGATCCATCGACAGCAGTGACCATGGACTTGGTTAAAACACTGTGCATTTTTCATACTCTGACAGGAATCAAAACAAAACATTCAACTCCGGTGCCTCCTTATGATTACATGAACCGAGGGAGGGCTACAGCATAAGGCAAGTTCAAGTAGGACTCAGGTCAGGCTGGTGCTGGGTGTCCTCCTTCACTCTCTCCTCCCTATTCATTCAGGGCTTTGGATTTTGCAAGACGTTTGCATCTTTACATCTTAGACAAAGCTAACCGTGTTGTGGACTTGTAAAGGTCAAGCCTTCGTTGACCTTCAGAGCCAGGAGAGCACTACAACCTCAAGGGAATATGGATGCTAGGAGGTGAGGCACCAGCAGATGGAAATTTCCCTTAGTGCTGGAATTTGGCTTAGGAGGGAGTCCCTTTGAATCCTCCCCCTGGTGTCTCACTGTGATTCTTTTCCATCTCTCTCATGGAACATGGCAGGGGAAGGAAATTATGCAGCGGGAAGTTTCCCAAGAAACCTTGGAATAGCTCTCTGGTGGAAGAACAAAAGTATCCACAAAAATTATAAAATCGCTTCTAAAACTGATATATCTGTATTGCAGAAAGTATATGCTGAATCTTTTTTCATAAATGTAACCTGAATATATGTAGGCAATAAAGCAGAAGAAATTCAAGTTCTGGGAAATGAAAATTTTCTATTATTATACATATTCTACTAAGTAGAAATTCAAGATTTAAAGTTACACACAAAAACTTGAGAAAAATGTAGTTATACTGACAAAAGTGATTAGTTTTTAAAGAAGTATTTATTTTGAAAAAAAAAAAATCTAAATGCAAAAGTTTAATGTAATGTTAACTGCCATACTGATTTCTACCCATATAATCAGCTCAAGGCTGCTGAAGACTTAAATAATGGTGTAGCAATTATTTGATTGCAATTTAATGACAGCTTTAAAATGAAAGGGGAAAAAATTGCTTCTATATGCCTCATGGAAGCAAAAAATTGCCTTAAAATGTATTTTCCTGAAAGCAAGCTGTAAACTCTCCAGTTTCAAAACAGACAGATGAATCCAATGTAATTTGTCCGGTTTCTAATTATTGCAATAATTCATAATAAAAAGCTGGAGGGGGGTGAATTAGGTGCTAGGGAAAGATGTTTGGGCACATATCAACCCCCAGAATGGATTGAAATCAGATGAGAAAGGGAAAACAGAACTGGTATTAAACTTCTGCCTAGGCTTCACTGGGGCTGTTGTTATAAACTTGGAGTACAGCTGCACTTAATGAGCTTGTGTAAAAGCAGACATCATACAAATGGGAGAAAGTAGGAACTTCATCCAATTAGATAAGAGAATTGGCCAGCAGCCTCCAACGAGCTGAAAAGCTCTTCCAACTTCAGGGATGAGAGCTAATTATAACTCTATTTTTGTGTGTGTGCGATGCTACTAAATTATTAAGAAATATTGTCCTGTCAAAAAACTATGTCATATGCACTGACTTGATTATTGCAGATGGAGCATTTGCCAGAGACAGGGCTGGAAAGTGATTAGCCTTGATAACAACAGGAGGCATTCTGCTGTCAAACTTCAGGGTGCAAATCGCTTCCCAGCTTGAGTTTCTCTCCAAACCATTTCTTTAGTTTATTCGTTCAGGCAGCTGTGTGGAACGGCAAGAATTTCTATTTTTCTTCTTGGTAGTGAGGATGCAAGGAAGACATAACGTACGTAGCTCCAATAAGTGTTCCTGTTGGAGCAAGGTAGCCTGAGACATTTGCTATTGAAACTAGCACACAGACTGGGAGATTTTTTCCAATCCTTTTTTGTTAGCGTACACAATATGATGGAGAATTGGAAGCAGGATGGATGTGTACGGGTAGAAAAGTTCTCACTGCTGCTTCATAACAACCAGCATCTTGTCTCGAGGAAATGGTGATCCTTCCCCTGATACCCCTCTACTCCCACAGCTCCTTAACACACCATGCCACAACTACTTAGGGTGTGCAGCTCCTTCAACAACAGCTTTCTTGGCTCCATGGCCAAGCAGGTCCCACAGACACCTCCTGGCAACACCAACCATCGTGTCAGGCGATTTTCAAGAAAGAAATGACAGTTTCATGTAAGCAGAAAGAAACATGACAGCTGAGCATTAGAGAACAGGTTCAAACTCTGGAACCTGTTGTTTAACTTCACTCGTTCCTCCGTTGGAATAAGGGTTTGTGAGCACCGCCAACTAACGCCACGTCTGACAGCATAACTCCCTGGTTCTCTGCTTGCTGGCAACCTGTGTAGCCAGTCATCATGGTATAAAGAGCAAGCTGGTTTTCTTCTCAGGACAAGGTGGAGGCACTGGGACTCCCTGAAAGAAGCCAGAAAAACAAAACACACAAAAAACAGAGCAGACAGAGCACACCAGAAGGCTGAGACTGCTAATAGGACAGCTGTAAACAAGGATGAAAGACTTAAATATGGGATTAAAAAGGGGAGTGGGAATAGTCCAGAAGAGCTGTGTTTGTGTCTAGTCCAGCCATACTTCCTAAACAATACATTTAATTCAATTACCCAACAAGCAAACAAACCAATTAACTTAGATTTATATCATCAGTAAGAAAACAGAGCAAGCGGCATCTCAATAGACTTACAGAAATCTTTTGAACTTTGGATGAAGGCTACCAGTACGGTTCCTAAACCCGATACAGGCAAGAGAGAGGTTTAAGGCTTCTAAACACAGATTCAGCATGTGAATTTAGAAAGACTGAATAAAAGCAGAAGTGCTCTATTAAATGAAAGGCAAATCACCAAGAAATCAGCTTTCAGGGATCAGCTGAACTGCTGCATTGTACTTGCACGGAAAATTACCCAGCAGCTTTTTCTGAACCAAGAAACACAAATCAGTTTTGCTCAGTGAATGCATGAGCCAAACTCTTCTATTGTGATGGTTTCAATAGGAGCTCAAATAACTTTGACAGCCTGGAGGGGGAAGGGTGTCTCTGACCCAGTTTCTACACTACAGTGTAGTTTGGGTGATGGTGGTACAAGTGTTTACAGCAGAACCTCTTTTCTTTAATTTCCCTCTCCTGCTTGCCCACCATTGCTTTGTTTAAATAATCCACAGCTGTTATCATGTGCTCAAGAATAAGATTAATTGAGCTTAATGATTGCTGGCGACTTCTTATATGCATTCAGCTGGTGATGTCTTCAGCACAGAGGCCCTTTACACAGTGTGAGAGGAAAATTTGTCTTTTTCTTTGGCTTTCTCATTTCATATCCATTCTGAAAGTGGAGTTCTCATTTCTTCCAGACATCTTTGCCCAAAACCTCTTAAAACGCTGGGAGAGATTCTGAAGGCCAGAACCTCTTCACCCAATGGAAGCTAAATGATTTTTTTTAGGCTCCTGGCCAAGAAGTTTATTGCTACTTCTCACGCCACTGACCCAGGAGATGCAACTGCTCCTTTTCTGTAGAATGACGAAAGTCTGCACAGGCAGAAAATGGGACGCCTGAACAATGGGATAAAATGGCTGGAAGGAAGGCTTCACGAACGCAGGTGGCCTGAAAACCTGGATTCCCCACGTGCAGACATGTAAGAGCAGTGTTCCCTCCAGGCACCAGGGCAAGGAACGAGACAGATGAACTGGGATGAGAACACTGAAAATCTGAGTGAGAGACACAAAATCCAAATGATACACACTAAAATGATGGGTTCTTTCTACAGCGATGGTTGAAATACACTTACAATGATTTTTTTCTCTTTAAAAAGCCCTCACTGCTAACCACATTCAATGCTGTTTTCAACAGATCTTGAATTATTATGAACCCGTGCTTGTCTGCTTTGATATGTCACAAGCCATCACTAACCTGACAACTCACTGGCAGACTTTCAAGCATTTTCAGAAAATAAATAAATAAATAAAAATCAGCCTACCTTCTAGTGCTTCCCCCCGCTTCCAGCTCTTAAACCAAACTCTAATTCAGGGGATTGTAAACTGCAGAATCAAAACTAAAGCTGAAAGGAACTAAAAAGTTACACCGATAAAAAGAATGGAACAAAAGGGAACAGAGAAGCAGGAACAGTTTTTTCTCAGCCCGTAGACTGCACAGAGGGTAGATGACATTATAACTCCTGAGGGGCACCCAGTGACTGCAGTGTAGACTGGGATCATGCCAGGTGACTTGCAGCATGGGTGCAGTAATCTGGGGGCTACGGCATAATCCAGACCCACGAGGCAGAAGGAAATGAGCCAGCAAAATCTGCCGAGGAGATCCCCGTCCAATCCTGTCAGACAGTAGAGCAGCCAAACACGTAAGGAGCTGTTGTCATCGGCCACATGAACTCTCCCCAACTCTCTCTAACTTTACTTGGCTAAGGACTGCTGTTCAGTTTTGGTACATGATTTTTTAGGGTTAGAGAAACTAGTCACTCTTGCACAAGTCACTTATATTCAGAAGAAAAAAGAAAAGACTAAGACTGGAGAGGAGAAAGCCTGAAGAAAAAAAGCAGCGTACTTTTTATTTTCCATTAAATATATTTGTATTCTCATCCCATTTGAGAAACCAGGCCCCTGTTTACCTTATCTCATCACTTTTCTTCCTTTATTTTATTTTATTTTATTTTATTTTATTTTATTTATTTATTTTATTTTATTTTATTTTATTTTATTTATTTATTTTATTTTATTCCACTTGGGAAAAAGAGAGAGATTGGAGTATTTCTATCACAAACCCAACCCATTTTGTCTTAAGTCACAAAAGGGTTTTGTTTTTGTTTTCTCAAAAGACGTTTTCTATAAACATTAAGTAGCATTTGAAAACTCAATTTTGTTAGGAAAATACTAATGGTTAAAACTTTTGACATTTCTATCAATTCCTTCTTCACGAGAATTGCATCACTTTCCTAAACATGTTAGTATGCTAACTTCAAGGCTGTTTTGTTCACTTGGAAAGAGGCACAAATGTGCTGCCACAGCCTTCCTAGTTGACTTAAGGCTATTTACTTGGCCTCTATGCTCCTTGAATCTAGCTAAAAAAAATGAGTATTACAGTGACTTGTAACTTATTGAAGCACCCTGGGCATAAAAAAACACTCGTTACCATGAAGCTCTTGCATGCTGTGGAGGAAGAAGTTATAAAGTATAAAATAACCCACAGGAATTAGGTTTTAGAAGGAGGCTGAAGAGGATGATGATTGCTTGATTTAGATTGACTGAACTATGATATGCAAGTGAGCAAAGCAGTGTTATTTCCAGAACAACCAAAGCCTTCACACACTCCTACTGCTGCAAACAGCCCCGCAAAATCTCTAATGGATTACAGATAGGCAGGACTTCTGTTTTATATCTCAGCCAGAAGACACGAACCGTTCTGCTGCTCAAAGGACCGAAAACATGCAGTGGGTCAAACAGACCAAGAGGGAACACAGCCAGTACTATAGAGTCAAGACCTATGGAATAAACACCATCATTTCCAAAGCACTTTAATTTTATCTGCGGTGGAAAAAGCAGGCTCAGCCTTGCTTCGCTAATGGAATATGAAGAGTTTGCTGCCTGGTGCGGTGCGCCTGTGATGTTTAAACACCATTTGCAGCTCCCCTCGTGCAACTTACAACGTTTTCGGAGCACGGCCTTAGCAAAAACGATTCCCTGGCAAGAGCTGGTTTAATTCACTTGTTGGTCTTTGAAATCCTGCACGTGGATTCGGGGTGGTTTGCTCGTCCTTCCCTTCCCCTGGAGGCAGCGAGGCAGGCAGTATCCCCAGCACTCCCAGGACAGGCCCTCGGTGCCGACAGGAGCCCAGCGCCTTCCCTGCAGCAGTACCTGGTACCAGAGCCGGTGGGAAAAGGGGAAAGCAGAGAAAAAACAGAAAAGCGAAACAGCCGATTAAGGAGCAAAGAATGGCAGAGGAAACTAAAAATAGTCCCCTCGGCAGTTATAAAGGAAATTCGTTTGACAGGAGGCTGCTTCTTTTGTCAAGAGTGGTTTGTTATGCAACAGATGATACCAGCACCGGCTCCTCTTATCTCCGTTGTCAGTTTAACTGACAAAAAGGAGCTTGGTTTAACATCGCTGGAGCCACAGCGAGTCGGAGCATTTGTTTGTTTTCATGCGTGCGCGTGTTTTAAGAGACAGCCCAGGGATTAATACTGGCAAGAAACCGTGGTGCAAGCTCAGTTAAGCAACCCTGCAAAAATCTGAAGAGCACTCGGTCATTATTAAAGGCAATAATTAAGCCCCTGCCCGCTGCTGTTTCTGCTCCCCTGCCTCCCACTCCAACATCCCCAAGAATGGGATCGTGGCGACTTTACGGCACTATGGAAAACTTAACGCTCACAGGTTCTCCCGTGCACGGGCAGCCGTGGACATCCTTGCCTGTACTCTGTTTTTCCCTTCTTGCACAAGACATGCAGAGCTGGAGCACTGTGGGCACAGAAAAAGCAAAATTAAAATGATGAAAGCTGCTTCATTTACTGATAAGATCAGTTTTTCCCCCCATTTTTTCCTGATGCTGAGCATTCAGTGGCATTTACACCTCTCAATATGAAGGGAAGAAGTAGAAAGGAAGAGGTTTTACAAGATCTTAATATCTCCTCTTTTCGAGAAGGGAAAGCAAAGAAGAGGGAAAAACGAGCCTTTCAGCAGCTTCCCTGACATCTCCGCACAGGAGTGCAGGTGAGCCTGCCTGTTCCCAATTAATGTGCCTCCTGGCATGCCTGCAGGCTTTCAGAAAGCTTGTTGGTCACAGCTGCCAATATCTGCTGGTGAGGAGGCAAGTAAATTGCAGTCGGCTGTCCAAGTTAAACAAGTAAAAGCTAGGACTTTGAAAAACTCAAGGGACACATGTATGCACACACACAGGAGGTGGGAGCGAGCCCTTGGATATGATGTAGATGCAAGGAAAAAGAACTCTTAGTAGTCTTATTAGTCTTAACTTCAGATTGAAAACCTGCAGCGCATGTGCGTGAAATACTATGCACTTTTTTTGGTAAACTTGCTCGAAATAATTTGTTCCATTCCCCAGGCCGTGAAGGAAGAGCTCGGTGACAGGCACACCTGTCATGAGCCGCTCAGGCCACAGGATGCCACTGTTGCATTTCTTTTTTCTGGAGGTCAAAATAAACCGTGGCAAACTGTTTGCGTGAACCGGACACCTAAATTTAATGCCTCTCTTCCCCTTTCAGTGCACGCACATGTCAGCGGTACAGCCCCAGACAGCCCAGATGTAAACAGCTCCGTTCCACCGCGTTATGTGTTTTGATCACGAACAAAACGTTTGGATACCTTTTAAGGCCAGATTACTGAACCCAGCATCTCTGCGTGTTCATAAATTTTCTATGCACAAGAAGTCTTTCCAATGCCTGCCAGGACTGTTGACTCCAGATAGTTTTGACCGCAAAACAAATATTCAGTGTTGTTGGATTTTATCTGTGTCCAGATGAGAAAAGAAAAACACTAGATGGGAGAGGAGATTAAATGAGAGGGAAGGCAGACTGCTCGTAATTTCTACCTCTTGTAAAAGAGGCAAGAGCTCCTACCATGTTAATAAAACTTCATAAATATTTTACTAATAGAAACAATTTCACGTAGAAGCCTGGAATGTAATGTGTTCATGCCAGGAGACAGTGAAGTGAGCTCCCAGATAGCTCCTCTTACCACAGCTTCGTGTGCTTTACAAGCTGGCACCCTTACTCACAGGACTGCAGACCTCCGGACAGGTAAAGACAAAGGCACTTCACCAAGGTCCCCAGTGTGACCGCCAGGGCAAGGCAGGCTAAAGAGGTCTGCTCAGGTCCTAAATGTCTTTGGAAAGCAAATTTTAGTCCTGAAATACCTTTACATTGAAGTGGTAAATTATTAAAGAGAACCGAGTACGGGATTGCAGATAGCCTCCGAGATCTGCTCAAACATGAGTTCTCCTAAACTCAGCCCAACACAGATGTAATTCTTGACAAAGGAGGGAGAAATTTCCATGCTAAGAGTTTCTCAGATTTCAAAAGCCATTTTGGTTTTGCTTGGCATTTCTGAAAGGGAAGAATGGCTTCAGCCTCCTACAACACGGCTTAACGACAGGGAGAAAGAAAATGAATGATAAGGTTTCAGATACAGCTTGGGAGGCCAGGAACAGCACAACTCGAGGAAGGGCAGCGTGACAATGACAGCCGTGGTGATGCAGAGCCTTACAGAGGCTGGTGTTGCAGCTCCACACTTCAAGCTGATATAAATGTGAAGGGGCCTGCAGATAACAACGTTCGGGGATTCAAGGCTTCAACAGAAACATCCTCGCTGCCTTCAGACTGTTTTGGATGCGTCCCAGAAGCAGTTTATTCCCCAGCCAGACTCTAGATTCAGTGTGACAAAATCCCACTTTTCTGACAATTGTACTGTAAGAGCTTTACATCAGCGCTAGGTAATTGCTCAGCAGACTCTGGGAAGGACTCAGCCTACGAAATGAAACAACCAAACCAACAAGTCACCCCACACAGCAATCAAAGAAGCCTAACGATGGTTTCCATTGCTTAAAAAATAAGCAAGTAACAGCACAATGCACACTAAGAATGCAATGTTAATATAAAACCATGCATATTGTTTGCATTTCTTTTGCTGAAGCAGTGTTTGGTGTTGTGCTGTTTCTTTTCCCCACTAGAACAGAAAAAATTGACCAACACATAACCGCTTTGTTCCAAAACGCAATTTACCTCCCATCCAAAAGACCATGGATTTCAAAATCCCTTTAAGGAAAAAAAAAAAAAAAAAGTGAGAAAGAAAGAAAGAAAAAGCCTTCAACCCAAATTCTTTTTTTTTTTTTTTTTTCCTTGTTTGTAACAATAAACAACAGATTTCATGTAAAAACAACACCAAGAGGGTAGAAAAAAAAAGTCCGAAGCTAATTTTAGTCCTGCTGATCTCAGGAGCTTAGTGTTCCCGTCAAATTGAACAGACTCCAGTGGTGCCCTGCCTGTCTGGCTGGAGAAATCTGTCCCTTGAGGTCTAGTTGCGGCACTTTGTACCCTACACCTAGATTGGTTTTTAGAGTATTTTTATTATTATTATTATCCTAGAAGCAAGTATCCAGGACAGCATTGATCCAAGACACAGATGTGACCTATTCAAGTAAATTACCAGGAAAAAATCAAAATGTTTCACACTTCATTTTCTGTAAATTACTCCCTCTGGAGCTCAGCAGCTAGCCAAAATTCAGTCACAAAAGTTATTTCTATTAAAAGGAGTAATTGATGGCACAATCAGGTGTATCTTTGATACAAAACTGTTTCCTTACATACAACAAGGGGGGTATTTTTCCTGAAACAAGTTAAGCTACAAGACCTTTTTCTTTCTTTGATTGTTCTCATCTAAATTCAGTCAGTACCATATCTGATCCTTCCTATCTGATCCTTCCATGAGCTCTTTCTACCTTTTTTTCACCTTAGAGACATATTCGTACTGCTAGCTCTTCTTATTTTTCCCTAACCAGAAGCATTTAACGTGGGTTGTTTCATTGGTTTTTATGTATAAGCAGCTCTACCAATACCTTGTGTTTGCTTTGTGAGTTCTCAGGGGAAATCACTTTCATCACACAGTGGAGATGACTTTAGCCACTTTTTAAGTTCTTATCTATTCTGTCAGCTTCACTGAATTTTATCCATCCTACAATCACATCCCTTCAGCTGCATGCAGTCTTCCATCAGACACAAATGGCAACAGACTAACCCCTTTCAGCCCAGAAAAAGAAATGCTTTAACAAAACTACTACTTAAACTGTAAAGAGTGGCTGCCAGGATACTTCCATGCATCAACCCCCATCCCTCACCAAAAAGAAAAAGAAAAAAAAAGTCTGGTTTTAGTCAAGTCTCCCTGCAATTTTTCTTCCTTCTGTCTAGCTTCTTTTCTGCCACCAAAGGAGGATGTTCAGCAGGCCCCCTAAGAAGCATCTACGGTTTGCATGAAATGTGCCTACCTAAAGTGAGATGTTATTCCTCATGTCAAGAATGGACATCCTCTGCTGGATGTAAATGAAGAACAGATTTTGCAAAGGTTGATCATGTAGATGGAAGAGAACTGAGAATTCATACAGGCACCCTAACCTTCTCCAGCATAAAACCCGGCAAGCTAGCCTGCACTACCTTTAATTAGAAACTTATATTAAGGAGCAGTAAAACACTCCTGCTGTTATATTGTCTTTGCTACCAGAATGACAGCCCCAAACTGAGAGAGTGTATCAACTAACCCATAGGTAGATAGTAGCATCTTAAACTGCAGCTCCAGGTTAAGACTTCAGTTACATTAATCACTCACTGCTGCCAAGAGAGGTAGCCCTCTCCCCATATCCCTCCCCCAGTTTTTTCCCTCTGAGACATGCTTTTGCCAAGCTCTTGCTCCAGCACACATTTGATTGAAGCACAAAGCCATTTCAACTCACTAAAACAGCGAAAAGTAAATTGGTTTTGGCTGGAAAGCAAGCTGCATTGGCTTACTATGTGATCAAGTGAGCACCAGAGTTGGTGCAAGACAAAGAGAAGACAAGCTGTACGGCTAAAACCAGGAACAGTAAAAGAGGTCTAGGAGAGGTGGGAATGGTAAATAGCAGAACAAGCTGTTAACACAGCTCAACTGGAGCAGGAAATCAGTCTTACTGTGCTCCAGCAATTTACAAAACGCATTTCTAAGTACTCAGTTCCCATAGACATCCCCTCATTTTAGAGGCAGCAGTTCCTCTGATACCCACAGATTACTCAAAGGGGATGTCATGTTTAGCCCTACACTGTAACAGCTGCACATCTTAAGCCTAAATCCAAGAAGACCTAGCACCCCAAATGTGTTGCTGTATAAACCCTTGGAAATCAAGGGATATTCTGGTCCCAGCTCTGCTTTTAGAGGACGGGTTCCACCTTTATAGGATGGCACCACGAGTCTCGGGAAGCTTTCCAAAGCTCCAGATTAGCCGGGCAACATGCCACGTTACCAGCACCATCCCACTGTTGTGGCACTTGGAGTTTTTCTGCATGGGACTGCACAATGACCAACTAGTTCACAGCAGTACCAGTTTAGGGGTCTGCCCAGGCTCTCTGTACGAAATAGCTTCTGAAAAGGCGGTGTGTTTTTTTGAAGCCTATGGACAAGAAGCATCCCGAAGGGAGCAGCGTGCTGTTCCTGTGAGGGAAACATCACAGTGAGGAGACAAAACCCCAGCAGATCCACGTGTTGTTCATCAAAGTAAGGCCTTTCAGCAGGGCACCAGGAAAACAGACTGTACGTGTTCAAGTGCTCAATTACCGAAATCCTGCCAGAGGAGAGTCAAGGGGCTACCTCCCTTTTCAAGCTGCCATCTATCGTACTTGCTTTAAAACAGCATGTTCCTACCCATTTACACCTGGGGACAAATTTCCTCAAAATTTTATTTTGCCTCCATGCCTCTTGCTGCACGTCTTCAAGCCCTGCATGTAGCTGGAAGCTGACAGAGGGCTGGGATTTTTACTTTATCACTCGTCTGCTTGCACTCCCTCTCAGGGCCCCACTTAGGAGTAGGAGAACGAGGACTTCTTTTATTAAATTAAAGTGAACCAGGGTTGTCACACGCCCCGGGACACAGCATTTCTCTCCCCCAAACCCGGGGGGCCCCCGCGGGCCTCAGCCCGAGCAGGGCGGGCATGGCGCAGGGCAGCACCTGCGCCAGGGGCCGGGCCGCCGCCGGCCGCCTCCGCCTCCCCACCGCCGGGGGACGGCCCTGGCCGGGAGCCGGAGCTCGGCGCTGCCCTCAGGTGAGGGGCAGGGGGCAGCGGGGAGAGGTGGCCGGGCTCGGGGCCGGGCTGCCCCCGGGGAAGGATCCCCGCTGCCCCCGGGGGTAGGAGCGGGTGGCGGCCGCCATGCGGAGCGCCCTCTGCCTCGGGAGGGGGAGCGCGGCTTGCAGCGGGGGGGCAGCGGCTCTTCGGCTGTGCGCCGTGAAAATGTGTAAATAAAGAGGCTGCCGGGTTTAATGGCACCCTGAGGAGGAGGAAGGGAAGGCGGTCAGCGAGGCCTGAGGGCGATCAGTCGAAACCCAATCGACTGGGGTGCTTTTAGGGCTGCGGTGGTGGCAGAGGGTCGCTGAGGGGCTGAGGCTGCGCGCTGAGATCTCCTACAGCCAAAGGGTAGAGACACTTCCAGGAAGAAACACCCCTGTAAACAACTAGTATAAAATTACGATGGATATATCTTTGTGCAAAGTTATTTTCAGCTTTGCCTGTAGCATGTTTTCCCAAAGGGACACAATGTTTGGTAACACATCTGTTGACGCCAAGGGGTGCTTTCCTCTTGGAAAACTCCAGAATAAAGGTTGGCAGGTTGGGTGGTAGCTATTTGCTGTGTTTAATGCTGTATTGGCTTTAAAACAACCAAAAAAATACAGTAACAAAGTCAAGATCCACACTCTTTGTGGACACTGTGCCTTGTCATTGCAGCAGAGACATAAGGGTAAGAGCAAACCTAATCACCTCAGTGCAAAAACTGTTGAATATAGAAAAAACACAACTACTTGATCAATAGGGAAATGCAGAGAAAAACATCCTTCTTTACTGAACTTAATTGACGTGCAGTTTAAAGGATTTTACTTCCTTCACTTCTTAAGGAAGTCTCTACCAAGCCTTGAACCAGCATGAAATGGACGTGTTCTGTAAGTGCTGGTCAATGAATAACTGAGTAGAGCTATAAAATGAAACAGTTTCATTTTTCTGGTGCAGGAAGTTATTTCAGAAAGAAAAAAATACATGTAAGACAAGATGCCTCATGATGGGCGACGATACCAAGAAAAGCAGCGCAGGCACCATGAGGATCATGGATCCGACAGGTACGAGGAAGACAGAAGAACAAGAAAGCCATACCCATACAATGGAAGGTAGGTTTTACCACCTTAAAGGAACATATCACAGCAGGTCTATGGTGCCTGCCCTCTTTTTTGCTTTTAAACACATTCATATTAGGGTAGTAAAGAAAGCATTTACTCTGCCTTGAAATCACAAAGCATGAGCATGCTGCTTTAAGAATCAGGAAACTAATTTACACTGAAATTTTAAGCAATTTTTAATTTTTTATTGAGCTCCAGGGTAACAGCATCCTAAGAGGAGGCAGAAAGAGAGGCTTTGTGACACAGGCAGAGCTGTGACTTTCATAGGGTTATCTGGATGAAGCTGGGTCACAAACAGTTGAAGTGTGGCCACGGGTCTTTGTACAGGTGGTTAAGAAGTTGGTCAGCAGGCAAGAGCAAGTGAAGGCTTGCTAAATACACAGTGTTTAATACAGAACATCGCTTGACTGAGACCAGCACAAGCACTTAACCGAATTCTTAGGTTGGTCTGGCTCGGCTACGAACAAGTTCATACTAATCCAAAACAAAATTGATGTAAGTAGTTGCAGTCAATAAATGAGTACTTATTTAAGTGCCTCAGGCGGTTCGTGGCACTTGATAGCGGGTCAGCCAGCTATCAGTACGATAAACAAACTAATAGAAGGGTTGGAGTGGCAAATAAACTCTCAGGATATTATACTCTTCCTTTCAGCCTGGCTAGCCTACAGCATATTAGAACTTAGCTTAGACTGTTTTTCTTTGAGGGCATGCCAGTGGTTGCTTTGTTGGAGAGAGATCTGCAGCTGTAAACACCAGCAGCAAATCAGCCAGGGCAGTAAGGTGTTCCTCACATCCGCTTAGCCTCTGGGGGCCTATTTGTAAGGTAAGGCAATTTAAGAAAAAAGGCAAGGATTGGGGAGGAGATAAATGTAATAAAGATTCTTGAAAAGCTCTAATGCTGAAGTCCTCCCCAACAATACACATTAGCAAGAAAAACAGGATGAGAATAAAAGCAGTAGTGAAATGCACTGTGTGGACTAGAAAGAGTACTTTCAGCTAAATATAAAAAAAATTGGATGATAATCCTGTTGTGTGACGAAAACTAGCTAACGTGCTATGAAAATTTTGAGAGAAATGGGAACAAAAATCAGCCTAAGTGTCATCCTCAGAGGCTGTATGATTGTCCTTAGTAAAAGCAAAGATCAGGAGGGAATATAGTTAAATTATCTTGAACATGTTAGAAGGAGAGCAGCATTTGCTAGGAATATATTAATTAACCCCACTGTGGGGAAGAAAAAAGGTGTTGGGGGTGTCACATACAGCACCCCTGAAGCAACATCTCTGGACTTTTGTTTTTGCCATTACAATTACTGGATGCAGACTGAAAATTGGTGGAAGGATCATAAAGGCCAACAGACCTTCACGGTATACAGCATGGAGTAGAGAAAGGGAAGCTGCAGATAGAGATCTATAACAGCCACAGAGATCATTCTTAGAGTCAAGCCAAGACTCTGGCAGCCACCAGTCTTCACTGCAACTAATCAAAAAACTTTTTCATTAATCGTTTTGAATGGAGTTTGCTATACCGTAACAGCATTTCTCCTGTATACCTCTCAAGAACAACTGATTTTGAAAGAAAATTACAGTACGTTGGTGAAGTCTTAGGTTCATTGACCAAAAGACCTCCAGGTACCATAACTGAAGAGATGGGAAGAGTTTTGTAGGAGCTGTAATTTGGGTGCCTAATGCACTCCCTTACGAGCCAAGACTTTCTAGTGACAGTATTTCCCTTTCACACTGCATTTCTGTCTGAAACTCCTATAGCACGCTTCCTCTCATTGCCGAGAAGAAAGAGTTGCATTACCCTGAACTGGAAAGTCCTGGAGGGAATCAGGAGCAAAGGTGGCCAGAAGAGGCCCATTATGAGGAAAAATAAAACATCTAGAAGAATTTTTTTTTTTCCAATTGTACTCAGTTACTGAACATTAGGGGAGCTGTTTTTTTATTTTTTGTTTTGTTTTTTTGGCATGTAGCAAGATACAATAGAGAGAAGCAGCTGCATCAGAAGTACCAAAGGGATTGCTTTCAAGTTAACTGGAAGTCTTATAAATCACACAGCTTATTTAATTTATGTGACACAGCTGTGCAGGATGCTTTGGTGGTTGCACAAGACACAGGACAAAGGTCAGAAAAATCAGGATTGTTTCAGCCAAATAGAGCTGTTGGCAGCTGCACACGGAGATGTTAGCATTGGTCTTGTTACTGAAGGTCTTAATTAAAATGTAAGATTACAAAGAGCATGATTTAATGTGGATGAATGTGATAATATTTTTGTAAGTTGAATCTGGAATTGGATGAAGATAAACCCAAGTGCTGTGATACTAGGAAACAAAACTACAGTTGAAAATACTGATATGTGGATAAGAAGTTCAAGATAATAATTGAATAGGAAGACATAAAAACAATAATCTGGAATGAGACTTAAAATACCCTTTAATAACAACATCATCCAGCTGTACCTTGAAAAAGGCAAGTTCCAATTCTCCTTCAAATGAGGGGGAACATTGAGATTAGACCAAGCATTTACAAAGTGATTTACAGCCACTGTTTCTTTTAACCTGAGTGTTAACTCAGTTTTAAAAGAGCAAATTGCACTTTTCATACTGAATAATCTAAATCCCACCAACCTTAAACATCATCAGTCTTGATTTGTGGAGCTGTATGTCATTGCAGCAAGCCAGACAATTCCAATTTGAAGTATACAAATAGAGATGCTAAGTAGAGATCCATGAAATTCATTTATTTTGGCTGATTTTAGATTCTTCTTCACCTGACATTAGGGAGTTCAGAAAAGAGGGAAAGACATAAACAGGCTAATGTTTTTCCCCAGTTTGAACACCTTCATCTGCTTTTTAAAATTTGAAAATAATTTTAATTTTTATTCTTTGGACTAGCTAAAAATGTTTTTCATGGAAAAATATCTGTTAACTTCATTTTTAAGGGGACAGGAACTCTCCCCTCACACCCTTCTTGCTGCCTTTTGCGAGTAACCCAACCAAGTCAGCCAGCGAGTACAGAGCTTTCCAAAATAACAATGCATGATCAAGTGCAAATATCCTCGTGAACATGGATTTATGCAAGTATTTGGGGTGTTTGCTTTCAAAAGACACGAGCAAAAAAGATCAGAGCCTTATGAAACAAGTCAGCTGGTTCCACTAACAGGAGCTTCTTCCAGTTTTTAACGTTTTCACGTTCACAAGAAAGCGTGATCTAATTACTGTACATTACCTGTTTACTCCACTGTAGGTCAACAAGAGATGTCCGAGGTGGCCAGCACTCAAGAGCTTCCACTGTTTGCTCAGACTCATACTCTAAAGCTTCAGGAGCATCACAGGAATATTTTGGCCCACCGCCCCAGTATTATCCTCCCAAGGAGACCTTCTCAATGAAGTGTTCAAAGGTATGCACAACAAGAGGTACGTGAGGTTCTTACTACCTGCCGTCTACTCCTCTCCTTCCAAGGGCTGGTCTTGGTTTTGATTTCTGTGTTCAGAAGCACAACAGTATAAAGCTGAGGGGAATACATAAAATTCTAGGTTATAATGAATGAATGACATAACTGCAGGTTAGTAACTAGTTTTAGGTATGGAAAAGCAAGATTTACAGAGGTACTTTGCATCCAGAGCACCAGCGTGGGTCATGTGCATAATTGCCAGTTTGTACAACAAGAGTTAAGCTTTGGGATTTAGGAATAAAGTAGATACTTGCATCCTTAGGCAATTTAAATATGACTAATGCAGCATCAAAGCTGCAGCACTCTGACACGTTCTTTTCAGACTTTTTATCAGCTCTGTATATAATCCAGTCATCACTGATGCATCTTTATAAAGTCACATAGCATGACACAAAACCATTCTACGGACATGAATCCAGCAAAACAGCTCTTTAGAAATACAAGTGGGTTTTTTTCGTACCTAGAAAGTGGCTACAACAAACAGAAGCAATCATGAATGTGGGAGGAAATCAGCCTAACTCTTAAGTTAAACTCATTCCCGTAAATTGAAAAAAAAAAGTAGCTAAAATACCCACTGCTCTTTTAAAGTTTTCCCTCTTCAGGACAGAGAGCATTCTCACTTTGTTTTTAAGAAGGGCCCACTGCAGTCTAAGTTAAAACATACAGTTAGTATCTAAAAAGCCTTGCAGTGTTCTCCACTAAGGAGACAAATGAAGAGTTTAGTTGTTGCAAGGAAATGAAAACACGTAACACAAGATTATTTCTTTGCTCCATGAAGGGAAGTTAAATAACGCACTTGATTTACTCTTGATATTTCTGTCTGTGTGAACAATTTTAAGAGTGAGTTGAGCTATTTTCTCTTAAAAATATGTTGTAATTGTTTATTTGTATGCAGTTTGTTTTTTTTCAAGGAGTTGAAAAAACTTTTTTTTTTTTTAACTCCAACAGTTAGCAGAGCGTATTTACTGACACAGACCCATAATTATTTTACTCCTGATAAGATTGTATTGGCAGTTCTTCCTGCAGCAATGCTGGATTGCTTTCACTTGTCTGAAAAACCTTAGAAGACTCCATGTGCTATTTTTTCACAGGTTCAAAAAATGAAATGTCCCGTTATTTTTAGTTACCAGTTTCACTGGTTGTTTAGACTTACGGATAGCTTAATGGGACTTGTGCTTTTTTCCCCCCCACCGTTCACTTCTAATTATTTCAGTGCATTAAACATCATTAACATTTTCAAAATGTCCTAGATTTGCATGCATCAGTTGATGACGATGATTTCAATCCCACCATCCTCCAGCTATTGCTCAGTATTTCCCCAAAAATTTAGTGTCTGAGCGTGCAGTGGAAGAGGGAAAAGAGACCATCTAGAAAATAAACCATTTCGTTAATGGTTTTATTTCAATAAATGAAATATGAGGTTGATAAGATCATGAGAATATTACCACCCCGTTTAATTTTTGAAAGTGCCAAGATTTAGCGGAATTTCCTAGAGTGGTTTTACAGAATTTTGTATTTCCTTCAGTCAGATAGCAAACATTACAAATGAAAAACGACATGAACTGTAGAATACAAAGTCAGTACATGTGAGGTACAGCTTCTTACAGCATTGAAAGTTCCTGGAAATGGTTCTTAACTATCTCTCTTGTGCCAATGTTTTATCAGCACTCTGATGAAATCCCCCTTCCCGATCGCCTTAATTCCAAAATAAATTAGTAGTATCAAGTGAGGCCGAGAAATCAGGTGATCTAGCACAGCCTTTTCCAACGAAATGGGAATTCTCCGAGCATGCATCGCTCTACTTTCACTAAATCTATTTTTTCCTTTTGCCCAGCAACTCTACTTAAATTTTCAGTGCGTGTTGATGAGTTTGTCATACCAGCGAGGAATTCTAAACAGCCAGAGCTCTGTGAAGTATTTGCTTCACTTAAGTACTGCCCTCTTTATCCATGCATTTCACCAGCAATATCCCAAAAAGCTAAAGTCAAGTTTCATAAATAGGCTGATTTTTTTTCACAGGGATCCTTCTAACACTTGAGCTGCAAGCAGCAGCAGAAAAAAATACATTGTTCTCCTATCTTTTATTATTCTCTCCTTCTGTCAATAACCCCCCCACGCCTTTTTTTTTTTTTTTTCCCTTTAACTGCTGTGTGAAAATAAACCCAACATGAATATAATGGAAGGAACAACTGCCAACTGATACTAAACTCGTGCACCATTAGGAACAATTGATACTATCTAAGAAACTTCATACCATTCTGCTCCTTTTTTAATCCTTTCATCCTGAAAACAGAAGGAAAAGATCTGCTAAAAAATTCCGTGAGCAAGACCTCTTCAAAGCTGTTCAGGTCGATACCACATGGGTAGCAGTACTGGATCATATAAAGAAGGCATCTACTTACACGTCCTCTCAAACAATATACTAGAGTGCAAATTTAGGAGAAATGTAAGGATTTGGCCCAGGAGAGAGTGAGTTGTTCTCTGGAATAGGAACCATTTTGTGAACTGGATAACTTCTCACTTCAGTTGTGTGGCAGCACAGAACAAAGATTTCTCCCTTAATTCCATCTGCTTGAAAGCCAGTCATTTCCTCTTTATTTTCTTTTAACAGCTACTAATCCTTGAGAGGATCTTCTCTTTTATCTCACAGGAGCTGGTGTCCTTTAAGAGCTGTTAACTAGAAGCTTCATCATAAACATCTTTTGAAAAATAAGATGTACTACCACTTGGTTTGTCTTTCTTCATATATCTGCTGATTCTTTCAAACACCTGCCCCTCTACAGAACTTTTGACTCTTCTCTGCTATGCTAGCTTTATGTCTAGCTACCATGTGCTTTATTTCGTAGGGTGAGTCACACTTTTGGATCTGCAGATTGTAGGTTCTAAAGACAATAGACACAGAAGCTTGCCACCTTCTGTTTCTGTAGTACACAACAGCTTATAGAATGGTGTCAAGCTGTCTAGGTATTCTTTATAATTACACAGGAATTGGAAATAAACTTCTGATAAAGACGAACCTATCATCAGCTAAGGAACTAACACTTGGAATAAGCATTTGCAACAGCTACGACAACACATGTTGAAAATTACAGAGTTTTTGGCCTGGGGGTACTTATAGCTGAAGTTATTTTAGGCGATCACATTGAACTTGCTTTCTCAGTAAGCCCAGATAAGATTTCTATAGTTCTATGAAAATTAAGTTAGCAATCATATTTGCTTTGCTTAGAAGGAACAAGAGAAGTTGTTCAAGGCTGGCTGCCATGCTTGTTCCTTCACCTTAGAGAGAGCAAAATCTGAGCCAAAACCAAGAACGAATTGCTGATCTTAAATTGGTCACAGATACTTGGTCACTTGACCTCAAAAACGTTTTGTTATGATTTCATTATGTATATTGGTGTGAAAGAGGTGGAGCAATGCAATTGCAGGATAATGTTTTCTTTAGTTTTGCTTAAATGGTGAAGGTAAACAAGGTTTCTACCATCATCTTTGGTCAGTATCTGACTGAGGAAACGCCTGCATTTTTGCCTTGAATCGAATTGTACCATGCTAGTCATAGCTTGAGTGCTAACTTTTTTTTTTTTTAGTACTTCAACCCATGTGGCATTTAAGGGAGACAGCATTTAAAATGGATAGAAAAAAGTTTGTGATGGAACAAATATAATCAAATCCCTGTTCTTTCCTGCCATGATTACAGCTTAAAGAGGCGCCATGAACAGTATCAGATTTCTTAAGCATGTTGTAGGCGCTTCCAAACAATCATGTCTTTAGCTTACATTCTAACATCCACAATCATTAAAGCCAATTTCCTCTCAGAAGAAGACAGCATTATGATTTGTAACAACAGAAAAAAGTCTATGACTTCAAACTTAGCCAGGAGGAAATATCAAACTAAATTTATTTGAAGGAGGAAATAGAATTATGGAATAACAATGACTTTCTCCAAGTTATACTCATGCATTAACAAGCCAGCATTAATTCGAATGTAAACATCTATAAGCTGTTGTTTTCACAAAGCACAGTCTAAGTTCTTCCTGTAGCTACACATGCTGGCAAATACTTATAGAGTGGAAAAAATAACAAGGTGAAAAGTCACCCTAAGCAGAAGGATCATGCTAGTAGACACTCAGTTAATTTCAACATGTTTCTGTTACAAGAAAAAGGGCACCCAGTTCCCTTATAGTCTCACTTGTAATTAGGTAGCATGCCCCTTCTTACAAAGTATAGTTAGATACAGTGTGAACAACAGCTGAAATTTGCCATCACATTTTTAATCCTGGAATTGTAAAGACAGAGGGCTTCAGTAGTGTGAATTGGATGGAGCTAAGCAAATGAAGATAGTCCAGGTGATTGGAAATGCTTAATTAATATTGCACATGAGCAAGATACAGTGCACAGCAGAGCTGCAGGTAACCTTCCTGTTCTGAAGAGTATTTAATTTCGAGGTAAGCTTGGTTTTGCCACAAAATACAAATAGCCACGAGCAATTAGCTCTATAAATCTGTGAAGGGGAGCTACAGTCGTTGCAGATAACATCTTCTACTTTTAACAAGCTGTTGCCCTGTCACGATATGCGACTTCCCTCTGCCCACGTTTTTACATCAATTGTTTTCACCCACCTTTTGGGATTGTGCTAACGGGTGCATTATTGTTTTTAGAGAGGGGAGAACTGCAACTGAGAAGATGGAACTAAGGCAGCAGGGAAAGAAAGCAGGCAAAGCTGGCATTAGCTGTTCAGCGTATGTTAGACTCTAGTCCATTGTTCCCTATTGGGAAATCTTAGTTAAGTCTGCACTCTCCCAGTGTAAAATAAGAGTGGTACCATCTTTCTTGCAAGGCCATTGGGTTTGTCTGCCTCTCATCTGACCCAAATTCTAGCAACCAAGAAAAACTGTTGTCTTCAGAAAGTGGCTCTCCAAGCTGATCGATACAGCAGAGCGACTATATTGAACAGTAGCTGTATTTCTTGAGCAAGGGATCACAGCTGACTTCAAGGAGAGAAATACACCCAGGCAGGAATGCTGCTCGCCAGGTATGACAACCCACAAGTTGTGAAGGGAATGAGAAGCTCCGGTTCACAGGCTCCTCCAACCTGCCCTACCTTCAGCCAGATTATGGTTGCTTAAGGAGTGATAACACCCCAATCTTTATACCTTCTGAAGGCAGCTCAGTTTCAGCTTAAATGAAAGGAGTGGCTACAGAAAGTTGGCATAAGAAACGAGCATTTCATTGTTTTCTGGGCTTTCAAAAAAAAGGCATAAAAACCCTGCAAGTTAGTTTTGATACCAAGATTTTGTTTACTACCTGACCGAACTATGGGTACGTTAGGAAGAAAAAAAATGCTATTTTCTGAAATGCAGAACATGAGCTGATTGTGCAGAGACCTACCAGGGACACAGAAACACCTAAGGCTTTTTACAGCTATTGTATTTAAATCAGTATTAGTAAGTGCTGGAGTTTAATGCAAGACCTTCTGCTTCCCACCTTTTCCAAAACTGTAGAAGGTGACTCATGCTGGGTTAACAGCAGAGAAGTTAAAATAATACTTAGAAGTGATGCTTTGAGGAACTGCTGGGACAAAAGCTGTTGTTCCCAGGCAGGGAAAAAACACTGAAACTGTGCCTCAGTTGCATGTAAATCAGTGTCGTACAGTGGTGGGAAACTCTGTGGGGACGGAGGCTGCTGAAGTAGTTCTGCAAATCAAGTCTGTGAAAATTGGATAGAGCAGGTGGGACAATAGTTCTTCAAGTGAAGACAACACACATTAAAAACAGGGCAATAGTTTGAATTTGAGCATTAATTATTAATATAAGGCTTGTGTGAATCATTAAAAACAAGGCTGATCATCCTTTGGGATTTCCTAGCAGAGTGATTGTCTTTAGTAAAGAGGGACAACTCATTAAAAGGCAGTGGTAGTGCTTCTTTCTAGAGCACATGAATAATTTAATTTTCCCTGTTTGTAACTGTTGTTTTCTGAGTTTTGTTTTGGTTTGTTTTTTAATCCTCTGAATGTTACCCTATTAGGGAGATTTTAACATAACTCAGTGAAAGTTAAATCTCACCACTGACTAAAGAACACGGAGAGCTACATAAATAGCGGTGGTGTAGGGGCTTGGGGAAGGTTTGCTTATTTCTGG